CCAAATAGACAAATTATCAATTTTCAAAATAACAATAATTAACAACGATATTGATATTTGGACAATAAGCATACATATTTTTCTAAGTAAACATGAACAAAATAATAAGAAAGAATTATTTAGAATATTTTATTTTAAAGCTTAAAACATTTTCAAAGGTATAACTGACCTCACATATGTAATATTCAATTATATTCAATTTAATAAAATAGCAATAGATAATTCATAGTGTAACTTTAATCTTAAACATCTTTAGAAGAATATTATTATGATTTTTTAAAGGGAAAAAAATAAGAAAAGGTTAAAAATATGTTGGATCTGAATGAATCTGATTGGATTCTATTAAAAACTTCAAGATCACTAAAATAATAACAAATTATGTTATATTATTGGTTATTTTTGGTATTAAACGCTATATAAAGTTGTATTATGTCATTTTCACCAAAATATGGAGAAAGAAATAGTTGAAAATATGTCGGACACAAATAATTTAAAAAATTATGTGAATCGTAAAAGTGAATTGAATCGTGAATCGATTGTGAATCGTGCACTCACTAGAGATTTACTTCAAAATAGATTCACCCATACATTCGTATCGATTTTGCAAAAAAAATTCGAATCGAATCGTGAATTGAATCGCGAATCGTAAGATTCTGATAACGAGAGAATTCACTGTTATAGATTCGTATCGATTTTACAAAAAATTGTGAATCGAATCGCTGAATGAATCGCGAATTGTAAGATTCTGATAACATAGCTTCCTTGCTAGTCTCAACATGGAGTATGATCCAATTCGTTTCAGGTCCTTGGTCGTGATCCATTTCCTACATGCGTAAAGGCCTATGCTTATGTTTGCAGGAAGAAAGTAGGCAGAGTGCCATACCCTTTAGGATCGCTCTAACTCTAGCCGTCTCTTCTGCTCTTACAGATGCAAAAAGTTGGTCAATCCAAGTCTAGAGGAAAAGGCTCCCTCTAATGATCAGATCATTTGTGATATTGTGGGAAAGAACGCCATGGATCGGGACCATTGTTGGAAGTTGCATGGTCGTCCTACTCGAGGACAGGGGTGGTCATGGTCTTGTGGTGGTACCGGTTTGCTTTCATGCACATTCTCAAAGTCATCTCCTAATAATTCGAGTGATCCTACAACACTTTCCCAAGATGAGTTACATACTCTCCGGCGTCTGATGGCTGGCTTGATTCTTTTCCTACCACTACTTCTGATCTCCCTTCCTCCAACTTTGCTTCTATCGGTATTCCTTCGCGTGCCCTTGATGTTGTTTCATCATCTCCTTGGATTATTGACTCTAGTGCTACCGATCATATGACAGGTTTGTCTAATCTTTTCCACTCTGACTTCCCTGTTCTGGTAAGGAGAAAATGAAGAGTTGCAAATGGGTCTTTATCCTCTGTCTCTAGATAGGCTCTATTCATTGTTCTCCTTCTATTTCTTTCATCAGTTTTACATGTCCTAAATTTTTCTA